CCAAATTCTCCATCATAAGCACCTGGGACAGGCTACAATAGGCCAATCAGTGGCCGCCGTGCCGAGTGGACCCAGTTGGACTCCACCCCCCACTAAGCGAATTAAAAAAATAGTGTGGCTAGATGAGAAATGCTGAATCAGTTAGCTCTCAACCGTGTAGTTTCTCGTACCAGACATAAATATGTCTATCGGTGAGGGCTAGAAGTGAATGTGGGCGCGGACAGATACTTTCTACTTAACTCTAGAGCGCTTTTCGTTTTAGTAAAGCTATTTCAAAATGCCTTAAGACGTCATAATTTTAGTTCCCAGTAACAGTACATTTAGGAACGATTTTCCAAATCTGAATGCAATCATTTTCTACAAATTTGGGGTTTTCTACTCATCTGAAGCGTTTTACTATTTTAAAAAGCCTTTTTCACCCCTGTTTACCCTTATGTCTTCATCACGCCAACAAATTATTTGCACGTGTACCAGTCTTATAAGCCACTCTTAGTTACGTGTAAACTCAATAGTATAGCTTCCCTTACCCCGGTCAATATCTGATGTGCTAGTGATGGAATCATACATTTTACGAGTACTACAAAGGTGAAATTCTTTATCCTAAAACTTAATGTTGTATTACAACTAGATATATGAATATTTTGATTGACTACTTAAGAATATATATGAAACTGTGAAAAAAAATTAGAACTTTCCTAAATCAACGTAAATACGGGAACTTGAGAGGCAGTACCTACGAGTAAAATGATAACTAAGTCTGTAGGTGTTCCTGGCATTGAAGTCATATAAATGTCTCAAATGTTTGTAGATTCTCTTGAAGGTGAAGAAACACATATTTACTGTTACATGAAACTAAGAACTTTAAACTATTATTGTTAATTTGACACTTATAAGGCCTACAAATGTTTTTATTTTATTTCTTTTTTGTAACGGATATCTTCAGTACTTCCATATACAATATTGTTTGCAAACGTATGAGTTATCAGAAAGCAAAGATACGGAAATATCTGCGTTTAGTGCGATCGTGTAAAGAACGCTTGAATGAGGGAATATTTTTCTTCGCAAGGAACCCAGACTGTAACTATCCACCGTGCTCCATATTTTTATGGAATGAAGTTCTGTGTGTTTCTTTTTTGTTCTTGCGGATTATTCTTTATGAAGAAATGATAGAACCAACCTACGAACTCTCAGAAATACAGTTACATTTAAATCCATCTATGACTGCCAAATAACACTGTTAAATGAAGTTACAATTAATTTCTGAATAATGTATGTTACTTGTTCTTTCTGCATCACAATATATGTTTCAATTGCCGGTTGTTATAGTAGGAAAGGGACTTGCAATTAAAATATCTGTATTTTCAAACGCTAGTATTATTGACAATTACAGAATATAAAGCATTTGGAGATAATACCATAAATTTTTACGAAAATATTTCCAAACCGTAAATCAAAACCTAAAGAAAGTCTAATAAAAATAGGTTTTGGTACAAGTTTTTTTCAGAACGCATATTCGGGAAAACAGTGGCAGATTGAAATTTGACTGCTATATCAGAGACACATCATAGGACTGTTAGAGAACCTCATTTTCACTTTATATTTATTGATTGCAGATGTCTTCGTTTTACTGATACCTTTACCAAAATATAACCTGCACCGTATCCTAGCCTTTGTTACCCTGTTTTAGGCGATGGGGAGTATATTTCTTCTCAAATGATCTAACAAATGGGCGAATGAGAAACACATACTGCTTATATCCTACCTTAAGATTGAGATCTGATGGAATTTGATCAAACTTAGTAACTCGCGATTTTAAGGAAAACACGATTATTGCAAAATGATATGTATAAGTGGAATGTTTGGATGTAGGTTATAATTGGTACTTGAAGGAAAATAGTGCTCAGGTTAAAGTCCAAGGCGATGTTTAGGCAACTAGTTACGTTAATACAAACAAAATAATTTTTTGAATTCAACTGCTGCGTCAGTTGTTTATTCTACGCCTACTTCACGTAAATTATGTGAGAAAGTACGAAGATTTTGCCGGGGAAACACGTAAGATGAAGAACACATAATATTAGAACAATGACACAGAGTGCATGATCTTTTTTTCTTCTGTCACGTACTTCGTCACAAAATTTACGCGTTTTTATTTTACCATTAATGTAATTTCAACATTCTATTTCTACTTTAGAATATTCCATTTGTTACTCTACGGTTTGTACGGAAAGTTGAAAAGAACAAGTTTCTAGGATGAAATTCTCACAATTTACGAAGATTTATTCCATGTTCTAGTATAACTTTGTAGGTATTATTATATTATTCGCCACTGGCATATGGCATCAGAATATCTGGCGTTCTCCACTTTTATAAGAAATATGAAAAAATAAGGAATAAATTAGAAAAGAGTGTCCTTAATTAGATATACATATCCGAAGTCTGTCACCAGTTCACACTGTGTTCTTCCATTTGCTCTCGACAACATCTTATTTGTCTGCAGAATACATTAATTTTCACATCTGTGATCTTTCATAGTTTTACAATTAAAATGTATATTCTTTCAGTTACATCATCATATATTCTGAAATATATCCAATGATGTATTTTATGAATTGACATGGACATTTTGGTTACCGGCAATAGAAAAAATAATTATCCTTAAAATATTACCAGATACTTTACACCTTATTTAAACGTTTCAATTATTAAAAAAAGAGATATATATATAGGCTATTAATCACTGTTTTTTTATTGACTCCTTTTGTATTAATAATTATTTTATGCTTCCCGTAAGGGAAAGTATCAGTTTCTTTTAAACAATTTAGGTACAAGGAACCACATACTCTACTACACTTACGAGAACACTAATGTCAACACTATTAACTACACTCTACCAGATGTCAAAAGAATGTTTACTTAGGGCTCATTGAAGTCAACATACTGTTGCCATCTTGCGGTAACTATCACAGTTATTTCCAAGTGTTAAATTAACGAAGAAATTGGACATACCTTTACAATAGCATCATGTTTTTAGTCTAGTGTGGCGAATTCAGGAAGATATGTTCAACTCCTCAGGTATCAAAACATTTGGAAATTATTCCACCTACAAACTCAAATTTGATATAAAGAAGGGACAAAATGAGTTGTCCCTAGGACTAAGGATTGTAAAGCATTATCACCAGTGCACATTATGTTTTTGTAGTTCTACGTTTTACGCTATGCTACAAATATTTCCTATCTAAATTTGCTAATAATAATTTACAAGATTTTACAGCCACTTCTGAGGAATTTGTATTGTCATTTTTATTGGAGTATAGACATGTCTGGGGAGGAGAAAATTGACACAATACCTCAAGCACAAGGCTCTTCTATTATGGAAGCCGGTGTAACTAATTCAGAATTCGGTAACATTGTTTTAACAACGTGTGCAATGTAAGAGATTGTAGGATTTTTTAATAATTTCTCCGCATCAGAGTGTTCAAGTGAGGATTTAGTTATCTGCACTTCCCCATGGAATGAACCCTCAAATTCTTGGTGCATCACAATATTTCTCCATTTTAAGTCCAATCTTCAAGAAAACAAAATAAATTTTCGTAATAAAGTACAGTTCCTAGTTTGAATGGTCAATATCAAGTTTTCACAAAATAGAAAATGTCTTCTTAATGTGACACGTCATATTAAAAAATTAATAAATTTATTGCACACACAGCGATGATGACTGTTAGGCCCTATATAATTATCTACATCAGCACACTGGCGCATTTCTATTGGTTTGTTAGCCTAACAAGCGACACAGGCACACCTACAGTATATGCACACACACATACGGACATAAGCGCTTATTAGGTCCCGCAATATACCAGTATCGTTTGTTCTCCTTCTGCTTCTTCTTGAGTCCCGTGAAACACTCTGGAAGCTGTTTCGTGAACGTCATCTCACTTAAGCTTTAGGAAATACAAAGTAAACAGAAGAAAACAAATGTTCTTCGGTAAGAGCCTGTAAGGCGCCTGAGAATCACTTAAGAGTAATACAAGTTCGTAACTCGCCTGTACTTTATGAAGCAACGATATCAGTTGATTCACTATCTGTTTAGATTGTCGTTTTTTTGGGTTGTGATATCAAGACTACAAGGTGTCGTATCCCACAAGACTCGCAGCCAAAAAATCTCAGACTTCATATCGTCTTATAGTTGTTTATCTGTCTAACAAGAAGGACCCTATGATGTATGACATTCATGGCCGTTTAGATTCTAAACTGGAAATTGGTAGAAAGGTAAATTTATCCATGTTTTCTTCCGTTTTTAATAAAACACAATACCACGAAATCTTAAAGGGGGAAGTGAGGTATAACTCTACACATTTTAAACTCTTAACGGATGGAGATGAGTGACTAGCTTCACTCCCATGCCAACAGCACCTCTTACTAATTCTACAGGCGCTTGGGTGGGACAGGGCGTGTCTTGACGTGGGGACTGAGAGAAAAATGCCCCCTTTTGCCGGATGTCGAACCCTCTCATCCACCCCGTCAATTATTCACTGTACTGAGTGAGTTACCTTGGATCCCTGAATTGAAATATGATTCTATGTTACTTAATCTTCGTGCATAACTTTCTAAACCCTTTGAAATATATGGAGTTGCTGAAATATGGAATCGAAATAACTTTCAGTTAAAATTTATTATTTGTATTAATGTTCAGATTTTTTTTAATTCGTCAGTAAAAATTAAAACGTTTTATCTGAGATCGGCAGATGTTGACTTTGATTCTTTAGACTATAACCTTAGTTACTAAGTAGGCCGCGCCATAGCTCAAGCGGTTAGTCGCTGGCTTCCCCACCGCGGCGGCCCGGGTTCGATCCCGGGTCTGGTCAAGTGGGGTTTGTGGTGGACAAAATGGCGCTGGGGCAGGTTTTCTCCGAGTACATCGGTTTCCCCTGCCAATCTTCATTCCACCAATTGCTCCACAGTCACCCTCACCTGTCGTCTGGGGCTGGTACAATAGGCCAGAAGTGGCCTCAGTACAAGGGACTTAGTCCCACCCCACTAGCAATAAAAAAAAAGAATTGGTTACTAAGTACAGTTGCTACATTCTGGAACATCCTGTTGTTAGTACTGGAATTGCAAATAAGTTGGCATTCGTCAAGAATTCAAAAGACAACGTTACAGTTCAGAATGAGGCTACTTATTCACAAAGCTACCAGCAAGATTTGTGTAGAGGATGCAGTGTTATATTTTCAAAATACACAGCTGATAATATTAAAATTTATAGATGTGGTGAATAAATTTCACTCGGTTAAATATTTCTTTTCATATATGAATTTTTCTCATTTCTCTTCCATTAAGAAAAGGTAAATTTGTCTATGTTCTTAATTAACCACCACAACATGAGGACATAGGGGGAGTGGAGGTATAGCTCCAACATTCTTGACCTCGGGGAATAGATGGAGGCGACTGTGGCAGTTTCATACCCCAGTCCCTTTGCCTCCAAGTAAAGCGCCCCCGATACTCATTATAGAGGAGACTGAGTGGGCCCCAGAGCCGATCTGGACTCAGTGAAGTTGAGAAAAATCTGTCTCTACTGGCAATCAAACTCTGGTCATCCAGTCCATAAGCCGTCGCTATACCGACTGAGCTATCCCGGCTCTTTCTCCATTACGGTCATAAAATTCGTAATATAATATTAAATGTCATGTGAAGACTTTGGAAATTTATATATCAATTTCAGTTTGGAGACCCAAGATCACTTTACTTTCATGAGTGGGTTCGAATGTTGCAACTTATGAGTAGCAGAACTGTTTCCGGAAGGTAGTTACAGTATTTCTGCAGGCAGTCATTTGGGGTTTGCAGCTTCTCAATAGTAGAGTGCTTTAAGTAATGCATCTGAAGTAAAGAGGCCATGCTCTCGTCAATTAATTACCCATAGTTCCCACTGGGGAGTAACACCAAGCCAATTATTATTACAAACTGCAGTTGAGGCGAACGGTTCAATAGGCAGGGAGTCTGAGGATTCGGGCCACCGTTGTGTACGAAATCACGTAGGATATTTTGTTAGCAGGCCTTCTATGGGGTTGATATTTGGTCCGATACGGAAGTGAGATTAAACTGGAAGAGGTTTTTGTTAGGAAGTTAAGAAAGTTGAAGCAGATTGCTCATTAAAGTCGCACACTAAGACAGAACTGCAGATTACAGTAAAATATATATTTGATAATTCAGGTCATGTGGAGGTCTCCCTTGAGAATTCGGGTGAAAGTTTTCTTGAACTGCTGGTTGGCTAATGCGTAGCAGAACGGGTTCATGGGGCTATTTGCGTAGCACAGGAAGTACGAGAACATATATAGATGCTCGTTGGTGCAGGGAGGCTCAGAGCAGAAGCCCTCCACCAACGCCAATATATGGTACGGCGTCCAGCACGCCACGAAGGCCCCCAGAATGAAGGAGATAGTACGGAAAGCTTTCCTTGCTCGGTTCTCCGACTTGGACTTCTGCCTCCCAATGCCTAGCCCGTCTTTTTTCTTACGTTTTCCTTTCAGTCTTTTACCGATCGTTTTGACAAAATCCTTTTTAGTTGCGTTCCCATCCTGATGCTGACCGGATACTGGTTTAGACTGACCTGGCACTTGGTTCGAACCCTGTTGTTGCCCTAGAGAATTGGAAGTGGTTGTAGTGGGTGTGACGTTTGTACCGAGGGTGGACTGGCGTTCTAATCCTTCCCTGTCAGTGACCGTGACGTCATCACAGAACTCATGTGTGGAGCTTCCGATCACACTCGTGACAGGCCGCTTCGAATCCTCTGCAGTAAGGCTTACCTCCGTATTAACTTTGTTGATTGGAGGCTGGCTGATAGTAATGACTGTAGTGGTAGGTTTTGAGGGCGGATTGCTGGTGGTTGTGGTAATGGGGTGGCCGGACTGCTGAGCCGCGGCTCTGATAAGGGCAGATTGCAGGAGAGAGGTGTTACAGGCAGGATTGGAGACTGGACCATGCACAGGGGATGGTGGTGCAGTCGAGGAGGAAGCATTAGCGATGCTCAGTGATGAAGGAGGACTTTCGAAGATGGGCGACGGTACGATTACAGAGCTCTCGTCCATGAAGCGGAGGTCTGCACCGTCTAGTCCGACCAGAATATCATAGGTCATAGTTTGCCCACCTTGAGTGCTAACCAGGAGGCTTCGCGGCCTTTCTGTCGATAGGATGGGACTTACTGTGATGGGAGGGCTTGTTTGGAACTGAGCAGGAGGTGGGATGATAGCCACCTGCTGAGTGATAGGTGTCTGCGCTGCACCTGTCATGTCTAACCGCGGTTGCGGGTTGAGAGTGAAGACGGACGCTGGCTGTAGAGGTAAGAGCTCTGACGCGCTCGGTTCCTCTCGGGGATTGTCTGTGTCTAGAAGGCTCTGTTCAGGGATCTGGGGCAATGGTTCTGGATTCGGTGTAGTGGGGGTGATATTTTCAGGAAGCTTCACAGGAATGGCGCCGTTGATGCGGCTGGTGTTGAGAGTCTGAGTCCTCTTCCCCTTCCAGCTCTGTTGCCTACTGACAGCGGTAGTGCTGTCCTCGTCGGACTCGAAAGCTGGACTGCTGGATCGCTCGCCCTCGATCTGTTGCGTACCTGTCGCAGACATGCCCACACGACGGTCCGAGAAGTTTGTAGTCTCCGCCGTCGTGGTGGTGGTTGTCGTCGCGGTAGTCTTGTTTGACGACGTCTTGTGACTTGAGGTGGAATCCCCCGAACCTGGACCCCCACTGTTCGCAGTACAACCTGCCGTTATAACTGTCAGACCCCCTTGTGTCTCTATTCCGCCTCCCCCACCAGCGGATCCCCCATTACCGCCACTAATCGACTTGGGTTTATCCTGACTCAACAAAGTGCTTTGTGTCTTTGATATACCTATACCGGCGGCTCGACCCGCCATACCGGACATTGCCCCAGCACTAAGTGCCACCATTGATTGCATCTTTCTCTGCTTTGCCTCACTTTTTTTCTGCATATCGTAAGCTGTCTTGTATATGCCACCGTACAACACGAACAAGACAACCAAAGTGGTCCAGTAGTACCCAATGATGAGCGCCGTGTTGAACACCGGGTCCTTGAGGAACTGTACCGCGCACTGGCCTGGGAGTAAGTCCCTATAACCGACAAAGTGTTCCCAGCCGAAAATGCTGATGAAGAATAATAAGGCTGGGATGATCCACGTAATCGTGACCATCCAGATTACCCTGTTCTTTGTTCTCCAGCTCCGGTACTTGGCAGCAATCTTCACAGAACAGAAGCGGTCTATTGTGATGAGGAGCACAGTATACTGGGACACGAGACACACTGTGTAGTCCACGGAGAGCCACAGGTCGCACAGAATGGGGCCCAGGTCCCAGTACCCCATCAGCACGTACACAGTGTAGAATGGCATGGACACCGTGCCTGTGACAAGAGTACATCTGTTAACTGTGCCCACGTGAACAACAAGAGCATGATTAGGTTCATGCGTTACACAGTGTAGAATGGCATGGACACCGTGCCTGTGACAAGAGTACATCTGTTAACTGTGCCCACGTGAACAACAAGAGCATGATTAGGTTCATGCGTTACACAGTGTAGAATGGCATGGACACCGTGCCTGTGACAAGAGTACATCTGTTAACTGTGCCCACGTGAACAACAAGAGCATGATTAGGTTCATGCGTTACACAGTGTAGAATGGCATGGACACCGTGCCTGTGACAAGAGTACATCTGTTAACTGTGCCCACGTGAACAACAAGAGCATGATTAGGTTCATGCGTTACCCAGTGTAGAATGGCATGGACACCGTGCCTGTGACAAGAGTACATCTGTTAACTGTGCCCACGTGAACAACAAGAGCATGATTAGGTTCTTGCGTTACTATATAACTAAAAACAATTAAGTTACTATCCTTATTACTAAAGCACGCGTCAATTATGCAACTATTTTTTTAAATATAAAAGTTATTTATAATATGTTTCTCACTATAAGTGCCACTTTAATACTATAAAAATGTTGTAACATCATAAAATGTCATTAAGCCACTAAAAGTATAACTGATACACTTGAAATGATCATCATATTTTTGAAATGTCTCTAGTTTTACATATGTTTCTTCTCACTTTACAACATGTTTCGGCCGCACATGGGCCATCATCAGGCCCATGTTTTCTTTTTCGGGAAGACAACTGCACTGTTCACGTGTGTATCGTCATTGTTTATGTTTTATCTCACGACTAGAACTGTCATTGTACTCTTTTATGGCCATCGTAGTTTTTGCATGTCGTGTTTCTCCCGTAAATGTGTTACTAGTGCTGTCTTCCTGTATACTCTAGTGTATAAGTTATACGTTTGGTGTCTTATTGACATTTTATGATTTTAACAACATTGTAAAGTATTAAAGTGCCACTTTTAGCGAGAACCATATTTTAAATGTCTTTTATATTAAAATAATATGATTGCATTATTGACGGGTGCTTTAATAATAAGGACCATGCCTCAATGCAACCGGATGCTGATATATAATAGTTCAGTGGATTAGTGAAATAGATACTGAAGTTTTGTTGGTTTTCAAGACAGACGATGTTCTTGATATACTGACATGACATGTTCAGATCTTGCAGAAAAGAGAAATATGGAAGTGGTATAATAATTATATGGCGGGGTAACTATGACCATTAAGGTCACGTGTTACAGGTAGTAATGACGCCATCCTCTACGAGGTTGGCCGAACTACGGCTGTGTCTTTGGCGGGGGCGCATCATGGACCAGAGGATGCGTTGGGACATCCACTCGTGGTCCCGCTGGGCAACTACAGTCTCAGGGCCTGGATCAGTGTGACTTACCGGGGCTGGCGGCTAAGCTTCCATAAGGAGCAGTGGCGTATTTCACGGCAGGAGCTTCCCATGTGGCGGGATTATGACTCTCGGCTACTGCTAGGGTTTGCCTGGGACGAATGCGGGAGAGTATTCATATGGGGGTAGCTCTGGCTACTTGAGTTGTCTCCCTAGAGTACCGATAAGGTGCCACAAGCTTTTGGGCTCAACATTCTAAAACGGTTTAACCAACTCATATGGATGTGTGGGGATGTGTGGTGATCTGCCAGCCTCAAGGGCGATTCTTTCATGCGGTTTACTCTGATCACAACCGCGGGGCTAACTAGCATCGCACTCCCACTAATCACCTGGGATCCCCCCCCCTGAACGTGCACTTTAGGTCCTGGAGGCTCGTGAGCCTTTATTCGCAACAGGGCCAAGCCAACTAAGCCGAGGTGTGAGGCATCGTGCCGAGGGCTGCGGGGCACTGGGGTGGAATTTAACCAGTGTCGTGAACGATCCCCTCGGGGCATCAGACGGCACACCGTTGTGTTTATGCCTTCCACTCGTATGGGGCGCTGTGGGTTGGGACCTCATAAATCCCCATTACACGTGGGACCAATATGGAAACCAAAAAGATTTTAAGAACCCGTCCTCAGGACCTAAAATGGACAGATGACCCCACTTGCGAAAGGTGCCTAGAAGAGGCTGAATCAGCCTCACATATCCTCTGTAATTGTGAGGCCATAGCTTATTTAAGAGTTCGTCACCTTGGCCAGTGCTTCTTGGAACCAAGTGAATATTTTGACGCTCCCATAAATAGGGCCCTACCTTTCATTCGAAGTGTAAGATTAATAAAGAATTAATCAAAGAGGAAACAGTAGATCAGTGAAAGTAGCGGGGGAAGGGCCAAATTACTGTGGCCCACCTTTACACATATATATACATACATAATAATTATATACTTCGATTATTTGGCTGTTCTCCAAATTTTATTTTATGTTATGTGGTATTTGCCGATCAGAATGATCGTGCCGTCTAAGGCATGAACCTTTTTCTCCCCCTCGAATACTGCGAACGTGGGTTCGAATCCCACTGGAGGCATGGATGTCTGTGTCTGTTTATTCTGTTTGTGTTTTCCTGTGTGTAGGTAGCTGCCTTGCGACGGGCTGATCCCCCGTCCAAGGAGTCCTACCGACTTTGTGTAGATTAAGAAACTGAAAAGCGGCCAAGGTCTACAGGGGCTGTAGAGCCGTAAATATATAGATAATAATATACTCGTACAGACTACATAACATCAAATGGTAAAATGATTGATGAGTTATAAATTGGAAATTATTTGAAAGGAGGGGATCGTCGCCTGATTGAGGCTCTTCCCAACCATTTACCTGGAGGGACTGAGGAAGACTATGAAACACTTCAGTCAGAATAGTCCTGCCGCAACTGGAGCCGAACATCTCCACAATACTAGTCTACAGATGTACCGCTGCACCATTCTGCTCTGTCTTAAGCTTTTGTTGCCTTATTGTGGAAGGTGTGGATGCTTTCCGCCAGTCGCTATACCGACTGCGTTATCCCGGCTTCCAGACTTCAGTAGAGTATAAAGGCTGCATGTAGCTCTACCTGGAATTAAGGTAACGAATTCTTTCTGTAGGGCCAACTCACCGATGAGCATGTCCGTGGCGGCTAGAGAAGCAATGAAGTAGTTGCTAGGCTGCCGAATTGTGCGGTCCACAATGAAGGCAAGCAGTACCAGGATGTTTCCTCCCACGGTGAGAACGATGCACATCCCCAGGCACAGGGCGATTAGCACTGTCTGCCACAGTTGGAAGGGTGGCAGCACCGGCGCCAGCACCTCTCCGCCGGCCACGTCACTGATTCTGCCTCGCCCCGCACCTTCAGCAGGTAAGAACATTTCAAGTAGGCACTAAAGGATTCTGACGATGGCGTATAACACTCAGAACCACTGAGTTTCTGGACTTTGTCCATCTTCTGGTATTCTAGAAACTAGAAAACACAACGTTTCGGAAACTGGATCTGTTTCCGTCCTCTTGTGAGAGGTGAGTGGAAGTCACCTACTCAGTTGGGTCCCTTAGAAAGAGCTAACAGTCCCTGTTATATTCACTACGTCTATTTAATCACTTGAGACCAAGGTAATACGGAGGGAGGTAACAAGAAAGCATGCAATAAAAACATTTTAGGGCTTCATAACCTCAGAAGAAGTAAACAGACTTGCGATATATATAATGTTAAGTCTCGAAAGTGAAATTTCACCCGTCTTCAAAATTATAAGCGAAATTCATTTTTTAGGAACGGAATCAGAAGTAGACGTGGCCACTTCACATATGCCGTACTGCATGACGGGCTGCCTAAATGATCTCGTCAGGCGCCACTCGCTGTTCTGATGGTGTGGACGAGCCAAAGTGGCTTTTAACTTATTATTTCTACTTAACAGGCGTGTTAATCTAAACTAAATACAGTACCCACATTTACCGTCAGCCGGATAGGCCGTGCCATAGCTCAGGCTGTTAGTGTCTGGCTTTCAGGACATGTCATATGGGATTTGTGGTGGACAAAGTGGCACTACGACTGGTTTTCTCCGACTACTTCGGTTTTCCCTGTCAATCCTCATTCCACCGACTGCTCTACACTCATCATCATTTACCATCCGGGGCTGGTACAGTAGGCCAAACAGTGGCCGACGTACCAACTAGACTCAGACTCATCCCACCTTAAGAAACTACCATCAGCCGCTAGGTCTGTTTTGCACAGGGAAGGCTGATTTAATGTGGAGTGTACATGATGAAAAGCACAGCGACGTAAAATCAGGAGTTACTGAAGAAAAAAATCAATGTGATATTGTTGCACTGTTTGAACCGGTTTGTTTTTTGACTACCAGAATTGTATTTAAGATCTCAAGCAGATCTGAATGATCTTGTCTATGGTTTGAATTTGACAAGAAGTCATTTTGAATTTTGACTTCTGAATTGAAAGCTAAGAATCACCCAGAAGAAATAAGCTTTTCCTCGCAAGTGTCAAAATGAATTCTTTGCAGTATCCCCCCCCCCACAAGATGGCATTTAGTTTAACTGAGATACTGTGGGCTCTGATGGAAGCCCTTGCCAGCAACGCGATTCGAATAAACTGACCAATTTATCGAGTTCTGAAACTGGTTTAGGAAGCGGTGTTACTGATGCTCCGAAGGATAGACGCTAGCCTAAACTATCAGTAGCTACATTTTAGGTTAGTTCAACATGAACTGTTTTGATACTGTTGTACGCCTTTGAGTTAGTCCAAATTCATCTTTCTATATAACCAAAATATTTTACTTGATTTATTTTCGAACTTAGCTTTAAAAATCTAGAAATTACATCTCTTTTTGTGTATATGTCGAAATTAAATTCTCTTTTTCCATTGAGTGTTATAATGGACCAAATTGCAAACAGGCATATTTCGATATTATAAGAATGTCATTAGAGTTTGACATTAGTGAAATCGCTGATAATAAATTAGTTTCTAAACCTATTCATGTATCTGGGGTATTCTGAAATCCCGAATTGAGTATCGTATCGCGACTGGATATTTGAGATAAAAATAAGAATAAAACAATATTGGATCTCTAATCACCATCAAAGAATGAGTAAATTTAGAACGTTTATTAGAGATTTCTGTGAATTCGTATCAAGATGCTTCAGTTTTTGAACATTTCTTATAGATATCTGTGAATTCGAGTCAAGATGCTTTCCCAGTTTGGCATATCCTTACAGAACTTGTCTACTTTATTTTTTAAGGGAACAAAGTTAGCTTATGAGATGATCGAGCCCTCTTTGTTTATTTCCTATTTCGTGTCTTCAATCATTTGACCGGTCTTCATATAATTTCGTACGCGAGTTATTCATTACTGTCACCTGAAACTCCAGCTTAATAGTTTCCTATAATCAGCAGTAATAACATGGCGGTCGCATGAACTTGTAAGATGGGACCAATATTATGTCCATTTAATATATGATCTTGAAAATATGTACGGTAATAGATATTACAAATACACATAACATTCGTTAAGGCATTTTCTTTTTGGTGGAACATAGGAACAAGTATGGCGGTAGTCCGAGAAATCTTCATTGTTTCGTTTGATGTCAATGAACAATGACTCGTTCGTGATTGGATTATGATACTTCACGTGGCAACCATTGTGAGAACTGATGTTAGTAAGTCAACAACTGCAAATACGACGATGATGCCTAAGTTTTGTGTTATATGAGACAAATTTTGTGTAGGCAGAATTTGTAATTTGGTAATAAGTTCTTCAAAAAGTAAAATAAAATAGGCATAATAATAATAACATTATATATATAACTCCGTGGTTTTTAGTACGCAAGTGAACTATATCGACCGAGCGAGCGACCGCCGTTTGTCGGCGAAGTTAGTGCCAATTTTAGCGGATAGTGTGTATCGCGTGTTCAGCGCAACGAATTCACACGGCCGTTAATTTCGATTTTCTAGACAAGAGGGCGCTACTTTTCCACTCAAGTAGGTCCTCAATTATCCTTACGAGGCTGAGTGGACCCAGTTCCAGACCCGCTACTTCTCAGAAAATCTGGTAGCGCCGGGAATCGAACCCAGACCCCTGGATCTATAGCCGGGAACTCTAACCACTAGACCACAGAGGCGTTCACAGTATTTATATGTAGGGTTAAAAATATAATCAGGAATGTATGGATTATAATTTCTATTCTGAAATTCTTCCTAATATTTCCAATTAAAATTTAAACCCCCAGGGACTATGTGTGACTTTCTGAAATGTTATATAGAGGGTATCATTTACTACAGCCCCCACCCAGAACTAATAGACCTACATCTTTGACAAAAATAATTAATTAAACCTACATTATTTATTACTGAAGTGCGAATTTTTTCATGTATTATTTGCTAGCCTACATACACATACGTGTATATAGATATGTACATAAAATTCGATAGTCATGAATATTTCCACTACCTGGGAAAAGAGGCTTCCTTGCCTATTACAAATGTATGTAATGCTAGAAAATTGTCAGTGTGGGCATACTTACCTTGCATGGTGAAATTGGTGTTATAGTCCGAGGCATTAGATCCATTTCTGCCGATGTACCAGTCTCCCGTGGTGTCGCCATAGTCCCCCAGCCCCTCGACGGCTTCCCACGACGGGCGCGCTGAACTTGTGGCATTGAAGGCGTTTAGACATTCGGGAGAGAACACCGTCTGGTATACAATGCGACACAGCTTCTCTCTCTGCTTCCTCTGTTTCCTGAAACAATAAATAATCCTTTTCGTATTGTTACCACACTGCTCAAGCGGCTAGTCGCTGGCTTCCCACCGCGGCGGCCCGGGTTCGATCCTGGGTCTGGTCAAGTGGGATTTGTGGTACACAAAGTGGCGCTGAGGTGGGTTTTCTCCGAGTACTTCGGGTTCCCCTGCCAATCTTCATTCCACCAAATTCTCTATGATCACAATCACCCGGGGCAGGTAACAATAGGCCAATCAGTGGCCGCCGTGCCGAGTGGGGCCATTTGGACTCAACCCTCCACTAATCTAATTAAAAAAAAAAGGTATCCCTGTAACAGACCATGGAGGCCTATAGGGTTGTGAGATGTTGAGGGTTCCATATTTTTTAGACAATCGGCAAATAGATGGCGGTAAGATTGTCAGCCTTACGCTCCGGCCGCGCTTTACCTCCAAGAATATTCCTGGTACTCATTTCTGTTAGAGGCTGAGTCTACCCCAGGGCCATAGTGCGGCTAGAAGGATCAGGTAAATTAAAAAAATCCACCTCATCGGGATTCGATCCCGTGACCTTCCGGCTTGTAGCATAGTGCGTCAATCAACTACGCTACAGCGTGCCCCTCCCAGAAAAAATCCACCTCATCGGGATTCGATCCCGTGACCTTCCGGCTTGTAGCATAGTGCGTCAATCAACTACGCTACAGCGTGCCCCTCCCAGAAGACGGCATTTTTCAAATAAGAAATTCAGCGATTCTCCTTACTTTAAATTAGTGTAACACAGAGAAATACAGTGAATGTATTGAATCGATATATGGCTGTAACTGGGACGAGCTGCTTTGCAATGCGCTACTTGGCGCTGTTGACCGGAGAAACAATGGTGCCTCGGTATCTCTCTCTGCGGGAAGGAATGTGACATGTGGAACAATGGTTCCTAAAATACACACGTCACATATACGGCACTGCACGCGAGATAACAGGATTACAGTACTACTGTGATGTGATCAACTGTCTTTTAACACATTAAAATACATTCACTGCAATTTGATCCTTTCAGAAATTAGAAACAGACATAAAAATGCAGAATGGATTGCACTTTGTTGTGTAAATGGCGTTACTATTTGATCTCTAGCCCTGTAGGATGAATAGACATGAAAAATATCGTACCATATTTAAAAATTAATTATGAAATTGTCTTTGGACGACATAAATGTAGCGTGTAAAGTGAAAAATGAAGAGTTTTCCGTAAAGAGGAATTCTGTTGTTCATACAGACCGGTTGATTACGTCATGAATATAAAATCAAGGAAGTTATATTGTTAGAGCACACTGTCTCGTGTAGGGGTTTGCGCGTGCCTTATGAAACGGATTTCGGATTGGATGATTGGATTTATTGCAACTTATATATTTACAACTCGGGACTACAGGCAATACAGCGCTATCGCTAATCTACACACTTTACAGTTCACCATTACACACTCACTAGGATTCTGAGTCTTCACTAGTCGTATCCTGGCAACGGATCTATAGCAGTCCACTGCCGCTCTTCAATTAACATATAAAGTCTTGTTTCACAACCTAATTCCCTTCTTGCCATTATTCTGCATCTGCAAATTCCGAAGACTCGACTCAGTTAAGTTCCTCTGCTCTCAAGCTCATATCCCGGCAGGCTGGCATCTCGAAACTCGACTACTCGCTTCCGACTCCTGTTCTAGTGAACACTTACTTATAGACACTTTGCACGGACCACGAAGGAAACATAGCCTCTTTTGTTAAGGAGGTGTGTTTACTGATTCGTTATCTAACAATGGAAGTTCTATTATTGCGCTTTAGCTTACGCAGGAATTAGTTTACCGAGTCGTTGCCTAGCAATGGGTATACACGTCACAGTATTCTTGTGAAAGGGAAGGGGATTGTTCACACAGATTTCGTAGTGCGTATTATGTTTGATGTGGTAAACCATGGAGCTAACTGTAACAAGAAATCTGAGATAAGGCGTAAGAGTTTGTGATAATGTAATATTAAAGCAATTATTGACTTTTTGGACATCATCTATCGTCCTCTTTATTTAAATCAACGCTACGGAGATTGGACTTAGTAGGCTTTCACCTGCGGAAGGAGACAGTCCGGTCTCCGAAACGTCTTTTTGATAGAAACAGGATGACGGAAAATGTGCAAAAATTCAATAACTGGAAAAATTTTCAGAGTCTATAGCTACTTTATGTCGCTGATTCATTTATTTCTCTTTCGAAAGTAACATTAAATTTAAGCAAATCACCTTCATTAAACGTCTGTGTATCACCGTCCGTCAATAATGCAACAATTATTAAAATATTCACCATTTAAAACTTAACACATGTCTCTGCCATAGATGGCCAACTTCAGGTGTCTCAATGCGTCCAAACTGTTACACTGCTTTTATGGGCGCTAAAATCGCGCGTTGCAGTTCACTTAAAATAATCTAAATAATTACTTAAAATCCATTAAATTTTTTTGTATTAAAATCTTTCGTAAAATCCTATTCCACCTCATACGGGACGTCGTCCACTTATTTAAAGCGATGTGATACTCCAGAAGGTTTGTTTTTCTGTTCCATTAGCCCGTTGTTTTGCGAAGTCTGCAATCTGTACATGACCCTTCTTCACTAGTGAAGACAACACCACACGCTGCTGGCGGGAACAACGCAGAAGCAAGGGGCATATTACAGAATATGAATACTGAATAATGCTGCTTGGTCTGAAGATAACCTATAATATCTATGTGTTCTCCTTGAGATATCTTAAATGTTAAACAACAGTGCACAGGCAACAAAATGGAACTTCTTTTCTTAGAGTGTCACTGAAGAAAAACTACGTTCCGACATTTTTATTCAGTCGGGAGGACTCCTTGGACAGGGGATCAGTCTGTCGCAAGGCCACTACCTACACACAGGACAACACAAACACAGAATAAACGCACACAAAGACATCAATGTCTCGAGTGGGATTCGAACCCACTATCCCATTGTTCGAGCGGGCGAAGACGGTTCATACCTTAGACCACGCGGCCACTGTAATCGGCAATTAGTTGCTATAGTAACCTGAACATGTGTAATGAAAACGGACTGCACGGTGTTATATTCCAGAAGAAAGAAACCTTCATAACCACCGCTGTGAGAACCTCAAATCTGGTTCTGCTTGCCACCTGCTTTCATGTTGGGTTTTTGTTCGGTTTATTCTTCCAACCTGAAGATGTAGGCGACATATTCCTCCGAAACGTCGGTTGACTTTCAACGGAGTACACGACGTTTTATCCCTGAAGATAGAATTATTCTGTGTTGTATTATTTTTGTTAGTCAATTTCATTTTCCGAATGACATGAAATACGGTTATAGTGTGTCATTATTGCCGTTCATTTGCGCGTCACAGTACGCCATTAGGTAGGTTCAGAAAGCTCTGAAGGGATTGGAATTAAATGCCACACGTCAGCTTCTAATTCATGGTGCAGATTCTGATTTGTTGGGAGCCGATCTAAAAGCCCCCCCCCAAAAGAAAATGCGTCAATAAGAGCATGGTCTAGAGGCAACGCGGAGAGAAAAAGCGATGTATGTACGTTCACATTTCATCACAAGAAAGCAGGAACAAACCTTCCTGTATGAAGGGCTTACAAGTAATTTGAAAATGAGAGGAAGTTTAAATATGTAGTAACGACAGTACCAAATGAAATTTATATTCACGAAGGTAATAAAAGTCAATTGAATTCAGGGAATGCTTACTACAATTCAGTTCAGAATTCTTTATCTTTCCGTGTTCTACTTTGAGATATAATCCTAAACACAATTATGTGAAAGACTAATATTTTTTATTTGAGTATCAAAGTTATTCTCTTATGTTAAGTGAAGGAAAGAGATCGAGGTTGTTTTAGAACAGAGCGCTGAAGGATTCCGTTGGAGGAATGGAGAAGCAATAATAATAAGGAGGAGGAAATTGCATAAAGGAAAGCTTTATAATTTGTACCCTTCACCAGGTATTACTTTTTATCATTGTGGCTCTGCAGCCTTTTGTTGGTCCTTGGCTGCTTTTTAATTTTCTTGATCCTACAAACAGTCGGTAGGACTCCTTTCATTGGGGATCAGCCCGTCGTAAGGCCACTTCCTACACGCAGAACAACATAATCACAGAATAAACCCACACAATACAGATATCCATACCTTCATTGGGATTGGAACCAACAATTCCAGCATTAAAACGAGCGAAGACAGTTCATTCCTTACACCGCACTGCCACTATGATCGGCACCAAATATTACTAGGCCGATGAAATCACGGGGCGCAAGAGACAAATTATGGCCCCTTTTGTGTAAATCTTTCTTGGGCCCGGATTTTCTCACGCGCACCTCTGCATCATTTTTGGTACTCACCGAGACAGACACAAACATGGACACGCTGACGAAGCTGCTTTAGATTGGACATGCAGTCATATGAATTGAGCTCACAAGGATCCTGCTGATGTAGAACGACACTAGAAACTCGTAGTCTCTCGTTGTGTACGAGATGTGTCTATACGGTGAATACAGTAAGTTTTGATGTTGGCTGTAGAAACTTCGGAACGTCTTGGAAAACTTGGCCGGGATCGGTGATGACTTTGGATAGCGCCTCCAAGTTCCAACGACGCTGCAGGAATGCTGAAAGCATGTTGTTAACATGCCTCTGCCCGGTTCTTGGCCATAACTGCTCTCTCGGCAAGCACTGTGTGTGTCTACCTCGCTCCGTAACTGCTGTGCCCGCTAACAGATCTCACACAAGCCTGATATATGTTCGTAGTAACATACAGTCACGTGTACGAGTGAGTATATATGGGGTTTGGATTGGTAATTGGATTTATTGAAAATTTACCGAAAGTAACTACAGAAAACTATAACGCTATCACTAATTTACACACTCTACATTTCACTACAGCACGCACAAAGTCTTCTCAGCCTGCTGTGTCTTCACCAGTCGTTGGCTGATAAAGGCTTCCAATGACGATCTTTCCCCCCATTTTTTTAATTC